TTGGGCACAGCTATCATCGACCTGCTGCTGCGATAAATTTGAGGCCAATGTCGAGCTGCGACATAAATCAGGCAAAAGATTTATGGCGCATCGCGCAACTTGGCGGCGATAACGAGCCGAGCATTCGGCCCACGCTGTCCGGGACTCTTACATGCGATTGCCATTGTAGAGAACAACACTGTTGCTGGTGGTCCAGGTCTGCAAATGATAAACTGCACCGACTTTTAATATACCAAACCAACACTTAGGTTCGAGATTTTGTTTCTAATTGTCCACGATTACCAGAACTCATGCTGTGTAGCAAAACTAATAAACCTTTTAGAGGGTTTGATTCGCTCGGGTATCAGGACTAAAGATAGCGTAAGGCTAACAAGCGCAGGGCAACGGTTGACCACATCTAAATGCCGGCTCGTTTGTGTCTTGTGCCTTGTGATTATCACAGTGGGACACATTTAATTGTATATATCAGAAAATTGAAAAGGGTAGCATGTCCAGCTCACAGTTGGCCTCACTCAGCACCGCTGATAAGGCGGGCGTCTGTCTGGTCCAAGCTGGGACCCAAGCGGCGTCGGCATGAATGTGGGTCAGGCATTGACAAATTCATTAGGCGCCGGAAATGGTTGCGGCCCAAAGGCCAAAGACACAACGTCCGACTGGTCGTAAAAACCAGTCCAAAAGCCCCAGCGAATGTCCCAATTTACATTCGAAACATATTTTCATTAGCGCTGCGCAGATATCTCATAAAGCGTCCAGTCATTTCATTTCACTTAAGCGGAAAAGCCTTCAGGAAAACATCAACAAAAAAAAAATGGCAACACAAAACAAAGGGGGCAAGGGAAAATATAATATATACTTATGTTAAGCAAAACGAAAATTTCTTAATATTAAACAAAATGTGAATGCCAATGGCGAACGCGAACGCAATGCGGGCTTTCGCGGCCAATATTAAAATAAAGTCCATCACTTACATTTGCTTTCTTATTTATGCGACCGCCCGTCGGTCCCCGGTTCGCGGTTCCCGGTCGCCCTCCCTAACCCCTCTTTCCACACACACACACACTAGGCGCTCTGCCTTGGCATTGTAATCGCAACTTGGCTATTCATGCGACCGGCTGGAAATATAGTGGCTTCGTCCTGGGCTGGCCACCATAAAAGTAAAGCGCCGTCCAAGTGCAGAATGAGGACAGCTCGTCAGGCATTCAGTCGTTCAGTCATTCGGTCATTCGGTCATTCATTCAGCGAACCAAGTCGCTCGGCTTCAATGGAGTAACACAGCACAAAGATGAAAGTGAAAGTTAAGAGCCCTTTACAAGTTTTTTCTTTTTATGACTTATTGCTCTGTCGTCTACGACCGGCCAAACAACAACAATGCGCACTGCGTGAGGTGTTTGCTATTGTTGTTGTTGTTCCTGCAGTGTTTGTTGTTATACTTATTGTTCTGCTTCGTTGTTGTTGTTGCTGTTGTGGGAGCTGTGCCTGCGCATAAATATAAACAACAGCGCGAAAATTTGCAAGCGTGCGGCTTTTCATAAGCTTGTTTACCCTTCACACACACAGGCACACGCACAACGGGGCGTATGAGTAATGGGACTGAAGAAACCAACTGGCAGCCCGAAGCGAACCAACACCTGCCACACTGCCACAGATAATTGTCTCAAAAGTGAGTTGGGTAACGTGCAAGTGACACACTTGTGGATAAGCAGACTCTTTTGTTTTATTGAAATTTTTATTTTTAGCGTAAAACTCAGATTGAGTAGATATTGTTAAGAAGAATGCGTCATGACTAATAACATACTCTGTACATATAATATAGGGTATAATAGAGTTGTGCAAGAATTTATGCTATGAAAACAGACTGCAGAAAATTAAAAATTATATGCACCGAAACGCAGATCAAGTTGTTTTCTTTGAAGTCGATTTTTATCGGCATGCCTTACCTGTAAAATATAATTTCCTAAGGAACATATTTGTTCTCCGTCTTCTTTCTCCAACTTCCGCCCAACATATTTTATAACGAGCTGACAATAAATTTGAAGTGAATCCCATCTGGAAATTGTGACTTCACAACACACGTCTTTAACTTATTTCCGACCAGAAATGCATCCGGCCTCAGTCGCCTTCTCAGGACTTTACACACACACACACACCCACACCCAACCACATATTCGCGTGTGTGTGCGGCAACTTAAATGCTGATATGTGTCACTTTTTGGCAGCGTGAGGAGCACGCTGCCCGCAGTTTGTCCTACAAACGGGCGGCTCTTGTTACTTGTAAGTGTTGGGGTGCGGGCCGGGTAGGCGCGGATATCTTTACACAATATTTGCTGACATGACAACCGAAAAACATAACACGCGCCAGAAGGTGATAATGACAGTTTAGGCATTCATTACACGTGTTGCTGATAAGGCGTCAGGTGGGTGGTGCGCGGCAGTGTGGGGCGTGGCAAGGCGACACAGCGTTGACATTGACATGCCCGCGCATTGGGCCGCCGCTGATAAAAGTCAACAATATAAATTAATAAAGCTGCCAAGCGGAGAGACGCCCCCAGGGTCCTTGCTCAATGTCCCTGTTGTCCTGCGTGTTTGCCATAACAATATATTTCATTTGAATCAACAAGCAAAGATGAGATAAACCAGAAGAAAAAAATATATAATATAAACAGCCCAGTCAAAACACAGGACACAACAAAAAAAATCCAAGAGACATTCATATATTTTAAAATATTCACATTATGAGTAAAGTAATCTGATTTTTATGCTAATGAACCGCCGAACGGGCCATAAATCCTGGCCAGGACTCTACGAAGCGCCACTTTAAGCAATTACTATAATTGCTATCACACATACACACACATAGGCACACATATGCACACATACATCAATATACATGCAAAGCTGGTAAAAACTTTGTTTTTGTTTGACTTTTGTTAGGCAGTGCAGGGGGAAGGACGGAGGGAGGGAGGGAAGATGGTGGCAGCTCGTTTAGTTGCTGAGGCGCTAAAACTTTTGCTCATCAAATATCAAAGCAACACGTGTCCCCCCGATCTCAGCTTGATTTGTAACTACTGAGAAGCAAACATAAGGCTGTTACCCCGGACCGGAATCCTCAAAGACTCACACACACAGATACAAACACACATACACGTGCCCATATTTGTAGCCAAAGTTAATGAGCGCAAGCTGTTGCCAATGCTGCTCCCAGGACCTAGCAGAGAGTTGTGCCAAATCAACATTCAGTCATTGAATTAACATATTTGTACGCCAATTGTTGCTTAGCATTTATTTGCATTGCACTGTGCTATACTCTACCTCGGTAAATCGGGTATGATAAGACTGAGGTAAATTATGTAACAGCCAGAGATTACCAGCTGCATATAATTCTACAAATCCCACTAGATCTATTACAAAAGTTCTATTGACTTTAGGTGAAATATTTATTTATACATTATCTCTATATTTCAGAAATGAGTTATGGTTATGATTAAGAGTACAGAAGGGAGGGAAAGAGAGAGGGGCAGAAAAGGAGATAACTTTTGCTTGGACCGCAAACACAATAAAAACCTAACACTGATTCGGTTTATGGCTCGATTCAACTGTCTGCTTTCAGGTTTGCTGCATGAAGCTGATTTTCCACAGCCCTAAAACCAGGTGTTGCAGTTTACACATATTTTCAAATATTTTAAATTATTATTATACTTTTGCATAACAATTTGTCCTGGTTAAAGTCTCGCTTCGGTTCATTTGAATTTCCGGTTTGATTCATGCCCCTATTCAAGACTAAACAGTTCTTCATTTTCTGCGTCTGGCAGCAACAATTAAGCGGTTGATTCTTTAGAGTTTTGCATTGCGGCAGCTTTGTTGATTGCGGCCAGCAGCCAACAGGGCGTTAAAATTAAGCCAAGTCTAAGGCAGCATCTGAATCCAAAAGCAAATCAGCGTAAAGTAAACTTAATCAGCATTTCAATATTTTTCTTTTCTCTTCTGCTTTGCCATTTGGATAACTTTCTGCTTCTGCATTTCTTTCTCGTTCTCTCCCATCTCCGATTTATTTTTTTTCGTCCTGTGTATTATTTATTCAGATTTTGCGCCTGTTGCTGTCAATGCGCTTCATTTTCATCATTTTGCAGCGTTTTCTTTCGTTGTGTTTTTTTTCAATTTTGCGCACTTCACTTTGGCGCATTCATTAGGCGAATGACTTGAGTTCTGCACCTGCCACGCCTCTCCCCAACAAACACACACACACACAGCCACACAGCCCCCCTGATGGCAGCCCCAGCTCGCGCATTGCATTAAGTTTTTATTTGCGTCTTGGCATTTAAGGAGCCTGCTCTTAAGCTACCAGCAACCGACTGTGGACGGGGGGGGGTAAGCAAAACAGGGCGAACAGGTGCTGGAATTTTAATTCTCATGAAGAACTAAACGCAAATGTTTGCACATTCAGTCGTAAAATATACGAGAGTAGCTAACATTTTATTTGCCGCATTTATTAGATTTGAGGTGTTGCCTTTAACTTTGTATTCACTGCCCCAAAGAGTATTCACGACTTGGATATGTTAAGGTAAGGTCCAGACGTTCAACAAATATTTCAAGTTTTCCCAAAGTTTTCAAATATGTTTCATACCATTTTCTTAAGAGCAACTTACCTCAACTTTATTAAAAACTTTTACCTTTAAGAATTTACAGAATTGATGTACAACAAATAGTTCGATAAACAAAATGGAAAATATTTTAAAAATTGATTTGGCTTTATTTATTTTGGTAAACGTGCACATAATCAAAAGTTTACCAAACTTGAGGGTAGAAATGAAAGAAAGAACAAGTGCGCTACGTCGAAGATCAAATACACTAGTTTTACGGTTTTTTTAAATCTTAAAAGCAAGAAACTGAAAGACTTGTTTGCATAGTAACCGACAGCAGGACAGATTGACGGACATGTCTATGCCAACTCGTCTGCTACTGATTGGAGATGCCATTCAAGTAATACCATCTAATACACACACACTATGCTGTCATTTAAGTTAACTTATCGAAAAAATAAGCTCTTTCTCTCTCTCTTTTAGGCCAATTAATGCAACAATGCCAACGTTAGGGCGCACGGTTTTCGGTGTGTTCCTTCAAGTTATTTAAATTGCGCGCACAATTAAAGCATAATTCATGGCCGGCAGCAGTTTAGTGCTCTTTATGCTGTTAACGGCGCGCTGGGGAGCATTTGTAGCAGCAGCAGAAACAGAAGCAGGAACAACAATAAACCGAAGCCAGCCAAACCAGACTGGACAAAGACAATGTGGTGCCCATTCCAATACGATGAGCGATGGCCATGTCGACTTTATGTGCCCCGCTTTTAATTCATTTTGTGCATTCCCCGAGCTGATGTGATGTGTGTGTGCCAGCTGAATGCCGAACAGCGGCGGGCTTCTTCGCATGCTTCTTTGTAGTTGTTGGGCCTGCGGTGCCTATGCGCAAGCGAAAGGAATTGGAGGCGGGGCCGTTACATTTGTGGCCATATAAAAAACATCATAACTATGTGTTTCCATTTATGCGCATTGAAAAACCAAGCACTGGCCAGGGCAAAAATGTAAACAATTTCACGCTGCCACGAGACACGCACACACACCCACGCATAAACTCATGTATGGCTTTTTATGAAGCCTTGACTAAAAAACAGGCCAATGGCCAGTGCAGCAAGAACAAATTTCTTTGTGGTCATATGAGAATGTTCGACTTGTACATACCCTGTGTGTGAGTATAAAACAAGAAATGTAATTTTAGAAAGAGGGAAGCGAAGCGTGAGAAAGGAAATATAGGCAAGAAAAAATGACAAAGTGATTCAAGGAGACAAAGCGAGAAGTAAAAGCAGAGGAAACCCAAGCCAGAAGCAGAGTAAAGTAAAAGGCTTTACCACAAAGGAAGAGCTTTATCGAGAGTAGACTTTATAAATGTGAGAATCAGGTGGAGGAGCGGATAGATATATATGCACGAATTGTGTAGGCTTATGTCCTTTGTTGAGAGTGCGAGGTAGAAGGGAGAGAGAGAGCGACTGTTGATACACTCACTGATTTAAAGCAAAACAATCTGTGTGTCTACATTTTTCATATACATATATTGCAGGGTATTTGCACAAATAAATGGCCTCAATCCGGTCCGACAGACGCCAGACAAATGCACTGCAGTGCCACAAACAGAGAAAACGAGAGCTGGCACTGACTGGCTGGCTGGCTGGCTGGCCAGTCATTCTGACCCGGCCTGCAGCCAACAGACAACGAGCCACATCCAACCTTCAACAGCCAACACCCAACAGCCACCAAGCAACACCCAACATCAACGCCAAGTGAGCATCGCAATGCAGAATATAACGAGCGCTTAAATAATTAATATATAACTCATACGCAGCGTTGTGCCCGCCCGGGTGCCTTCTTTGCTCCGCTTCTCGTTTTCTTTTTACGTTTGCTTTATTATTATTTTTGTTTGACTTTTTATTATTTTTGTTGTTTGCCCGTGCACATATACACTATACATCATAAACGTGCACTCAGCGCGCATATTAAATCACCAGCTGATTGATGAAGCTGTAACTGACTGCCAGTTGCTTTGGTTTCGCTCAGTGCACTCGCCCGTTGCCCTTTTGAATTTTTATTTCTTGTATCTACTGTAGCTGTGACTGTTGACTGTGGACTGTGCAACTGTAACTGGTACTGTAACTGCTACTGTTTGCGCATACAACTTCAATTAATTACAAGAGTGAAAAGTTTCACTCCGTCTTTGGTGCGCTGTCATTAACATTTTGCATTCGCATTCATTAGCCGGAGCAAAAGTTTCCGATGATAAATTGCATATTTAAGAACTTGGATCGCAGCGCTGCAAATCAAAATTCTGCCCGAGGCCAGAACGCAATGCTTTTGACTAATGCTCATAGATATTCATTTGCAAACAAATGAAAAAATATTAACCCATTCGCTGGGTGTGGGCGACGGCTTCTAATCAAGATAAACAATGAAGGGGCTGCAAAAATATAACGTATACGAGAGAGGGGTCGTGCTTGGGACAAGAGCACATTATTTGAATTATTAATTAGCGCGTAATTAGTTGGGTTGTTGTCTTGTCTTAAACGAGTTTTACTTTTGTTCTCTCTTCTGACCACGTCCTGCGGCCATAATTTGGCCCCAAAGCCAAAGCCAAAGCCAAGGCCAAGCCTTTGATCTTGTCCGGCATCCTACGCCTTTTGATTACGTAATTCATTTACCTCGCCGCCAGTACACCCAATGTTGCAGCAGCATACTAGTTTATCGGCCGCAGCAAGGCAGAAAAAAAAATAATAATGAAAACGGAACTTATTATGTGTCAAAAGCAAAGCGTGCCTGCAATCCCTTTACGGCTGCTGCCCCTCCACCCGCTTTGGCCCCTATGGCCACCTCTTTGACCCAATTAATTTGAACTGTAACGCAAAGTTTTGCTTTATGTTCGCTCGAATCCAACCCACACACAGCAACCAGAACTGTCCACGCAATTAAAGCAACTGTGCAGTGGCTTATCAAGTGAAGCTTAAGCTCGAGCTTGGCTCCAAGGATGAGCGTTAAAGGATACCCAATGGCTGACTAGCGCACTTTCGCTCTGTGTATCCACTCATAAACTCAAACAAAATAAAATGAAATGTAATTTTTGAGCGCTGCGCTTAAAATAGTCCAAAGTTTTAATGACTTTATTCAGCTAAAACGACGTTGCAGCCAACCAAACCCCGGCCCGTCCCCGTCCCAGACAGCATACAAAAAAAAAATAAAATAAAAATAAAAAACAAACAACAAAAACTGAAATTAAGCGACAATCTTGAGCATAAAAAAAGTCAAACGCCAAAACCCGAAACTCGCAATAAAAAGAAGGCAAAACGTCAAAAATTGTATACAAATTAAATGTAAATATGTACAAGCCAAGTCGTTAAAAGTCAATTCAAATTTCGCATAGAATTTTGATAAGGCCAAGCACAGCAAAAGGGGCAGCAGCGACCTGCCACGCCCCCTACCAGCTAGTTTTTCGGCTAAAGCAATGGCATAAAATTACGTCAATAAAAAAAGGTACGCGACAACGCGCCACGCCCATACCCACAGCCACGTACACACCCACCCACACATATACGAGCTTGGCTTTTATGGCCATGCGACTCGGCTTTAGGTATGAGGCAAGTTGGGGCAGTGCATGGCTGCCAGTTTCGGGCATTTTATCGAGCAAACTTTTGGCATATATATTTCACAGCAGCTGCTAATTTAAGCCCTCAAATTAATGAGCCCCGGGCATAAAACACTAAAACACTGCGACTACCGAGCTTGGATTTGGCAAACTGTCGTAAATTGTTGTTTTGCTGATATGTTAAGTCAAATGTTAAGTGTAGGTCATCATTTGTGGCAGCTGGCAAAGGTCGTTCAAGCCAACTGCAATTCATGCCATAAAAACTAAACTACATTTTTTAAGATATCGCTTGAAATTTGTTTATCTTAAGGATACATTCAAATAGCCTGTTAGTTTGCGCGGCAATCGAGCTACATTTGGGTTGTTATACTTCCAACTTTATAGCTAGCAAAATTTGTAATTTCTTCCTGCTTTCATAGCTTTTCTGACAGGTACATTCCATAGGCTTATCTCTTATATTTATTTATCTTAACTTTTTAAATATCTTATTGGACTTTAACCTACGCTTTCTTAGCGTCAACTCAAAGCTTGCCAGTTTAAGTGTATCTTACAGATTCAAATATATACTTATCATTTTTCTAGACCTGTATAGGGTAATATAATTCTGTCATGATATGAATAACGCATATATAAAATCTAGATCAACATATAGTTTAGCATAAGCTTGTAAACTATAATTTCGTAACACATATAATGAGTTCATTTATTGTCCTTAAGGGTATCTGGAGTCTTACCAGACTCTTTGCATAACTTGGCATTGGACTCTTTAACAAGAATCGGTTGAAAAAGTTGCTGTTATATGGAAAAATTTACTTTTTAACAATATCATAACCAAGCTGCGCAATTTTCTAGTAATATGTTCTGCTACCTCGCCATTTCGGACTACTATATTATCTGGCTCCGTAAGAGCGAACGGTAGGAAATAAAGTTGCACATAATATCATTTCTAAGGAACAATGCTACAAGGGTAAACATGCCGAACATAAGTTCTTGGCTCTTTTGAACTCGCTTCAGCTTTGCTTAGCTGCAACTTTCTATTGTTCATATATTTTGGGCAAATAATCCAGCAGATACAATATAATTATTTACATATCTGGCAGAGCAATCAATTTCGAGCATCTTGAGAACTTTCTGTTTGCCTTGTGCGCGCCACACTTGCCTCTTCAAGTGGAACGAACGGGCGCTTACAATGTGTTCAATTAACTGTTCAATTATAAATGGCTTAAATAAGTACTTACTTAACAGCCGTTAGAAGCTCGAAACAACAACAGCAACAAAAACAACAACAGCAATAAAGGCAACTGTTTAATTTTGGTCCAAGCATTGGCCACACTTTATGGCATTTTAAGGAGCAGCATGCACCAAAAGTTTAACTAAACCAATTTGTGTTGCACGCCCCGAGGCCACGCCCACACCCCGCCAAACATTACACTGTTCAGCATGGCCAATTTGCCGAACACAACGCAACGCCCCCAAAACGCCGCCGTCCTCCTCCTCTTCCTCCGCCCGCTCGAAACAGAACAACTTTTGACGTTTGGTCCGTCAAAGTTTCGCAAAAAATGCGCAGTTACAAGTGACAACAACGTCAACCTCTGTCAAAATATGTGTGTTAGCGGGTGGGTGTGGGTTGTGTATGTGTGGGGGTGTGCGTGTGTATGATTAAATCTCAGCCACAGAACTGCATTAAAAAAGTTATAAAATTTATAAAAACAGCAACTGAAATTGCATTAATTTCTGCTTTTTGGGCGCGTTCCTTGTTTGCCTTTAGTTTTAGGTGTTTATATTTTTCTGACACACTCACATACGCACACACACATGCACACACACACACCCCTACACACGCGCACGCATGTAATGTCAATTTGTTTCAGTTGAGTGTGTCAACTTTTTGGGTAACGAGAGCGCAAATAAAATGCAAATGAATTTTGTGCTAATAAAATGCAGTTACAAAACTTTACCCAATGACATTCAGCAAAAAAAAAATAAATAAAACACAAAAGTGAACAAGAGCGGGAGTGCGCGACGGGCAGATACCCTGCGCCCAGCATTCGTTATACCCATAAGCCCTGAGTATGCATGGCTGACATGCAAGCTATAAGCTTGATATGGCGGCTGTGCTTCTTCTTCCCTTAGCGTCACACTTTGGGAAATACACTCTTGACTATTTCGATCTTAAATTTGCATGCCTTAGAAAAGTTTGCATATACCCAAGCTCAAAGGTTCCACCTGTACAACATTATTGTTTTTACTTCTATCCAAATATATCCAAAAAGTTAAATATTTGTTATCTGCATGTACTCTACAATACAAGAGATTTAGAAATTGGAGCCTATAGCTTTTGCAATCGAGTTATCCTTAATTTCTTAAATTCTCTCAAAGTCCATATCTATCGATATTATAGAAATTTCGTAACTTTCGATTTATGCTTAAGAATCATCCCACATCGACATAGATAGATAGATATATAGATAGATAGATAGATATAGAAATGAGTTTTATCGCTTATAAATAATCAATTCATTCCGTCAATTATATATGAATGCATTATATGATCGCAGATGCTTACTTCTGCCTGTTACATGCATTTGCACAAAAACATGATATCCTTCTTGGTCGTTTTGGACGGGTTCAGGGTATAAAAATATTCCAGAGGCAGTCACATCAAAAGACAACCATGAAACGGGTTATTTATACTGTTGCACACACGCACACACCCAGACCCACCCACCCACACACACACACACACACACACACACAGCCATTCACATATGTGTACAGCTGACCATCGCTGCATAAATTAAGGCGCTCGCGTCGCATACGTTGACATTTGACCCGCTCGAGCGAAGCAACCGCCACAAAATTGGCGCCTGCATTCACAGCTGGTTTTTTCCATTTTCCGCTCCAGCTTTATTTATTTTATATATATATATTTATATACTATTTTTTGTACTTGACACCCACGTGGCAGCTGCAGCTGGCCAGCAAAGTTTGCGGTTAATTAAGTGTATCACAGCAGTCGGTGCAAAGTTGAGGAATTTTATGAATTTTGAAATTGTTTTTACGTTTTAATAAATTAAATAAAGCATTTTTTTTTAATAATGGTAAGGGGCAAGCTATGAATGTAGGTATGCAGATGCAGATGCTTTCCTGCTCGGAATTTTTAGTGCACTTTTGTAATGCTAGTTTAGGAACTAAAACTGCATCTTTGTATTAAATTATTTAAATTGACTGAGTTGATGAGGATAAAATGAAGAATGAAAGGACAATTCTGTATATCTAGCTAATTGCATCAAAGTGCATTCTCAGTACTTACATTATACCTGTATATCTGATAGGTAGAGGTAGAGGTATGAGTATAAGTGTATGTATATGTAAAGGTATACATATATAATACTAGCGGGTATACCCTGGCCATGCTAGAGGCCAAACCCTGAAAAAGTGTGTGTTCCAGCTATATATTTAGTTAGTTATAAGTAAAGATATTAAGATAGAAAGCTTTTGTTAAGCTGCTGCAAT